CACGTAATGATAATTTAAGAGCTCCAGATGAGTGGAGCAGTTTCCCTGTTTTCTCCCGAACCTGGAGAAAACAGGGAAACAGACTGAAGGTGGGAGGAGTTAAACTTGACTCCAAAGTAAGTCCATCCTCCAGACCCGAATTGGGTTCATAATTAGTCACTTGCTCAACGTTGGGAAAGATCTGAACGTCGGAAATGCCGAAGAGTTCATTGTTGCTACGTTGGAAAAAGTTTATATTGACCTAAGCTGGAGTCGGAATGAGGAGCTTCTGAAGGGGGGATCGCACATTATCGCCAAAACATACTTCATTCCATTCTCATTTCCATCGTTCGCTGCTCTCACACACGAGTTCGAACTCCACAGGCGAGAAGCAGCATACATACCCAGAATGTTTGTTGACGGAGATGGGATGGGAATACATGGGAACAGTGAATATGACGGAATCGGGACTTGGGAAGAGTGAATATGACGGAATCGGGACGGGAGTGCTTACCTTGGAGGGCCTACCCTTACAGAAGAGTGGATCACTTCTGGGAAACGAAAACTCCAGGAATGCCGCAAATCAATTATACATACGAGAAATCCTTCCGTAATTGGAACTCAATTATTCATCGCAACTACTGTCGGAATCCGTTCGGGAGAGAGAGACCTTGGTGTTTCGTCTCGGACCCTGCCGTCCAATGGGAATACTGCTACATCCCCATGTGCACCGACCTCGGTAATGGACTTTACTTCCTTGGATTTTGTAACAAATGACAAAATAGCGCTTGAAAGCGAAGGTGAGTGATTAAGGTAAGTTACATGTACACCAAATCGTTGCCTCAAGCATTCCTAGGTTTCTAAATGAAATGTCGATCGATGATATAATGCGACCGTCGCAGTGACCAACACAATGCGACGCGGAAATTGGTTTACTGTAATTTTAAAATAAAATTGTTGGTATGTATTTTACTTTTGGCGACTAATCCACGCGAACTTTCAGGAAATGCATCTACTTTATCTGAAGAGGCGGTGACTCCATTGTGGTTGAACTACTCGGAAATCAAATGAAATTAGAATCTTCCCTCTATTGCCGCCAGCCCCCCCGGAGTGCAAGTTGACCGAACTGGGCGGCGAATACAGTGGAACGAAGAACGAGACGATCATGGGCCGAACGTGCCTCCCTTGGAGAAACTTCGATGAGATTGTGGATCTGTCTTCGCTCCCATATTCCGATGACGTCGATGCCCATCAAAACTTTTGTCGCATCTTCAGACTTCTTGAGGTTCGCGATTCACCCGATGTCTGATGATTCATGTCTGATTAGAACCTGAATACGGTGTCATATGCATTCGGAACATCTTCAGAGGGCTCTCTTTCAAATAATATTTATTGAAATATTGAAGTTAGGTGGTTATATGTAGTCATACCTGTGCAAACAAAACCCTCCCACTGCCCCGAGGTGATTTTTGATTCCATTATTCATGGTTATAGGTTCAAGATACAGGTGGGGGCGTCGAGAGGCGCTTTCACCCCTTAACCGAGAAGGTCGAGCGTTCATGCATCATAGGGAAAGCTTGCGCCCCTTTAAAATACTTTTTAGGAGCTTAACCATATGCTGATTAATCGCTTACAGCTACGCTGCTGTGTTCTGTTTTGTCCTTGTGGCAGGAAGCCATTTCTTAAAATAATGCACTGTAGAGGCAGGCATTACTTCATTGCAAGATACAGTCATCCCCCGAAATTACGTCGCAATTGGTTCCGAGACCGGCGCCGTAAGTTGAGACAGATTTTCCCATAAACGCTATGTTAAAACGGGGAGTGTGGCTGCAGAGAATCAGTTTTGACCAAGAAAAAAAAAGTAATACTGTACGGTAACAATGTTGCCGACTACTCAGGGCCTGCGACACTTGGCGCGCTCAGTGCGGTGTTGCCGATTACTCGCAGTTGAGATACCAATTCATGGCCGACGTAAGGGCAACGTAATACAACGTAGGTACGAATTTGTGCGCTTGACTTAATATGCCTGTATTGCGTCTGGGAGCAAACGACGTAAGACGAGACGACGTAAGTCGGGGGATGACTGTACGTTCCACACGTTTACTTTCCCCCGGGCAAAGAAGTCATACCGCAAATTGGACCATGTCAAAGAAGTCATACCGCTTGGACATTACTCAACCTAATTTGGTTTCCTCTCGTTTTTCTTTTGAACATTGAGTTGAACGAATCTACCGCTTTTCTCGTAATGGACTCGCTTCGTGATATCACATGCCTGGCTGACTTCCTTCCTCCTTTTACAGCTAAAAGAGTCCCAGAAATTCTAAGCGCTTCGTAAGAGGAAACCGTCAAGCCTCCAGATCTGTGATGTCACGTGCAATTTTCGAATTGAAGTCGGACGAAAACTGCTTATAATGGAAAAAGAATGCGGCAGCTCTTATTGGCTACGGAATGCCTGTGGTTATTGGGATACCATTTCGCCCCTGTGGTATACGCGCAAAGAAGGATTGCAAGCTCTCGGCAGTCGGTATCCTTAGTTCTTCACTTCATCTCGAGGAGGATCATATACTTAATCTTTGAAATACCCAAGTCAATTTTTCGTATTCCTTAGCTGACGAGTCTGCTTCACATGATGATAAGCTACCATGCCTGTTTTAATCTCACAAAATCCTGGCCTCGAATCCTCTCAATTCGAGATTTCTAACCATCCTTGACATGTCGAGTCAGAGGATGACCAAGTGAAATAACAAAGCCAGTTTTTTATGATTCTCCTTCCTTTCTCTTCATCGTCATTTCCTCTATTTTCCACCTTTCCCATTTGCCATGACTACTTTGTGTCGACATTGACGAGTTGTGGATAGGCTGTTACATGGGTGAAGTTGATCAAATTTAAAATAACAGCAATGCAATCCTAACCTTTCGAAGTTAACCGCACTTTCGGTATCCAGAAGCTCATACATTCGGGTTCGTGAAGTTGTTTGGAGGTAAATAAGTGCAGACTCGCTTTTAACACTTGCCCTTACCATCTTTTTAGATGGCTTTGGTTGTGCATTTTACCTGTCTTCAACTGCTTTCCGAAAAGTCAACCTCCTCGTATTCCTCTCTCTGAGAGCATCAGCAGGAACGAAATTGTACATGATTCTTCCTCTCTCAACACAGAATCGCATCAGCAAATTAGATGTATCTCCTCGGGATTGTAGAATCTAAATCTTGCTTTTTGAAGATGTCAATTGCATTCCATATTTTTCTCCCCCCCCCCTGCACCCTGATTAGTCTCAAATGGCAGGCTTTCGGAGGAATGAGACCAACCATGAGAAAGAAATTGACTTGTAGATGGCCAAAAGTGTCCTATTGCTGCTTGCGATGCACCATTTTGCCATTAAAAAGAATGAAAATAGCTGTCGTTCATTTAGGCTTAGAGCGCTAGTTCCGATCCCTTCCCCCAGCGGGATATCGTGTTGTAATTATGCCATGCCCAAGACTACTTCAACCTTCGTATCGGCGACGAGATATTTTGTTTATTAATGTCTGACATTTTCGTGCTGAGTTCATGAGAGTTGAGCTGCAAATTAAGCAGCGGTTAGCAGTGATTAATTAATGTCATGGGATATGGAGATTTGTTATCCGGACATCCCTGCATTACCAAGATGGATGCCATGGATTTCATGCATCCCGGAGGCACTGCCTCCTCAGACCTATTCGAGATGGTTCGTGGAACACTGGATAGACCTAATGTTGCACGTCCGGACTGAAATGATTCAAGAAACGCGAAACAGGCCTCAAATCGATCTAACGTTACATGTCCTCTCTGAAATGGTTCGTGAAAGTATGTACAGGAATGTAATTGGCCTAACGTTAAACGCCCTCATAGAGATGTCTCGAAGCCCACGGATTCATCCTTAAAGGACAATAGTGAATTGAGAATTGTGGTTCCTTTTTTTACGAAGAATAAATTGTGATTTGTGGTGTCTGTTGGTTAAGTCTAGGACAGGCGTTAGTGAGGCCCATAGAGAAGGGTGGGAAGGGGGCGGGGGTTGAAGAAAAGGAAAGCTGTCGACAATTGGTATTCAAATTAATCCATATCCTTAATGGTCCTTGAGTATGGTTTCTACTAACACGAAATGGCGCCTATCTGCCGATGTCATGGTTCTCTCGCTGATTGCGATTTGCAGTGCCGGTTGTATTCGCCTTTCCATTTGCTTCCGGGTCAGCATCGGTGTCGCTCGCGGTAAAAGGCTCTCATTAACCGAATTGAGCTATGTGACGCTGCACCGTCCATCTGGATACATAGTGGCCTCTGTTCTATCAGCAATTCCAGACAATATCTTTCTCCGTCGTCTCGCTGTTCCGTCAAATGCACCGACCGGTAGCAATACTGTCCTGGGGCGTTATCATACGGTATCGGCCATTTCGACCTCGATTCTCCGAGGTGCTTCGCTCTTCGATCTTGGTCATTTTATAACGTACAGTTTAAATGAGAATCTTTAATGGACGGACAATTGCGACATCACACAATTAGTTCAGATTCCAATAATGTAAGGTAACTGATCGATTCCTCCACATACGGTTAGCACTATAACCATTCGACATTCTCAGCAGACTCAGCAAAACTTTCACAGATTTGCCATCTTAACTGCTATATGTAACCCCCGCTTGACCTTCTAGGAAGTTCTGGAACTATCACTCTCGAATCACTCTGGGATATGTACTCCCGGAAAAGTTTCTGTGCTGAACTGCATTTTTTGCTGTCCCCTGTGAATCCGGTTTTCCGAAAGAACGGAATCTAAAGAACTAAACGGAAATTCCTCATGCTCATAGGTCAGGCAGGTGAAACAGGTTGCGCCCTGGTGTTTTATCGAGGATACGAATCCCCCAGCTTGGGAATACTGCGATGTGAGCTTCTGTGAGCGTCGAATTGAAATCGGAGTCGAGAGGCATGTGTACCCTGAATGCCGACTGTCAGAGAAGGGAATCGAATACGTGGGAAGCAAGAACGAGACCGAGAATGGAAAATCTTGCCAACGATGGGACGTAGATTTCGAATTGAAATCGGAGTCGAGAGGCATGTGTACCCTGAATGCCGACTGTCAGAGAAGGGAATCGAATACGTGGGAAGCAAGAACGAGACCGAGAATGGAAAATCTTGCCAACGTTGGGACGTAGATACCACACTACTTCGAGAATTGACTTACCCCTATTCATTTTCATTCTACGACCTCACCAGGTCCATATCTCCAGAGAATCACTGCCGGAACACTGGACAATTGGACCGGCCGTGGTGTATGGTATCTGATCTCAATACTGTGTGGGAGTACTGTGACATTCCCGTTTGCGAAAATCTAGGTCCGTCCCGTCACGCGTCCGACCGATGAATGTGATGTTCCACTCTGATTTATTTCTTTTTGTTTTCAGATCCGCTGGAATGCAAGTTGAGTCAATCTGGAATCGAGTATGTCGGGAAGCTGAACGTGACGATATCTGGGTATCCCTGCAAACCTTGGTTGGAGGTGTGTGCAAAAATGCCCTCTGCGTGCGAACAGCTAGGATCGAGATTTCCAGACGAACTTGATGGGAATCACCGGTTTTGTCGAAATAAGGCTCCATCATACCACGGCCCATGGTGTTTCACCTACTCTGACGACGGAATTGAATGGGAGTATTGTGACGTTCCCTTTTGCCCACCTACCGATCAGAAACGATGCGACATTCGAGTGGGTGGACGTTGCGTCAGTGAGTCTTCTTTTTAATATATTTGCTGTTGAATTTTTCTTTCCCGTTTTTCGCTTCTATTAAAAAGGAATTCCACAGACAGAGCTTATACATTGCGATTGCCGTCTGTCCTGTTTCTCATAAAAGATTCCAGGCTTTAATTTAATTGGAGCGGTCTTTTAGGGAGGGTGAACATTTGAATACGTAACTGTTTCCAGCAACTTGAGCAAAGAATAATTGTAGGTCACCTTGCTTGCAATTGCTACGACCGAGACATCGTCCCTAAATCGCTTTGCTCCTTGTGACGATACCTCGGTCGTATTTCTAGTCGGAAAGCGACGAAAATATAATTCAGATATTTTCTGAGATTTCAAATTCCCGTAGACTCTAGTCTCGCTCGTATCCGATCGGCAGAATAGGCGATCTGCGACTGAGATAATGCCACGGAAAATATTAACCTTTGACTTGTAATCTCAATGAAAGAAGTGCAATAAAAAAAAGAACGACGAAGTCAAGGGGCTTAACTTACCGCACTTTGCATTTCTCAGGCCCATTTGAGTGCAAAGTTGACGACTTTCCTCACTTTATATAACCCTGCTTTTTACACTGGTCCTTCCCTAAGTTTACGGTCAGCACCAACTCGTTAAGGGGCTTGTTGGTTGAGGAGTAGTAGCTGATGCTGGATAGCGTGAAAATGATAGAAGACAGAAGTAAGTGGTAGACGCCCCATCCTCCCAAACGGAGTGATCTTTTGTGCACTCATTTTGCACTCTATGCTTAGAAATGAGGACTGGTCGGCTCCAAACCAGGAAACTGCCATGCTGATTGGCAGTGCTTCCTTTGACTCCTGAAGAACGCTAAACATAAGATATTAAATAAAATGAAAATGAAATAATACAAGATTGATTCGTTTCTTCTCTTATTGCATTAATTGAACCTTGGCGAGAACCTTCGAGAATGACAGTGAGTTAGCCAAGCTGCGAGGGTGTGTCTGGCGTTCCTCCTGCATGAGCGATGAATCTGGAGGAGATGTTGCTAGACAGACTTGGGTCATTCAAGTACTAAACTCGAGTGCTGATCCAGTGAAGGAAGTTATATGAAAGGACCCTTCAGTGGTATAATAGCACTCATTGGAATACTTTCGAGCTTTACTCAATATTTGCACGTGTTCAGGCTCGGGAAAAAGAGGAGGTAGTTCCCATACGTTGAAAATGTAACGCTGGCATTACACAACACGCGAACGTATCGATATTTTCAAAGTTGAAGAATGTTTCAACATTACGGCAACATTGAATCCGCCTCTTAGGCACAAATGTGGCAACATTGCAACATTGAAAAATTAGTCTTCGCTCAATGCTGACCAGACGTTTTCGCGCCGAATGGATACGCTTTCCAATTATAGAATATTGCCGCATAAGATATCGTTGCGACTAAAATTGCGTGTATGTTGCTAGAGTTTCCTATGCAAATACTGCTTTGCTCAAAAAAATTGTCAAAGGCATAATGAAAGCGTGCCAGGACTTTTAGTCCACCCTGCACAACCAGTGTGACTTTGCTGGATTGGGAGAGGTGTCTGTACAAGACTTCCCCCAAAATGACAGGTCAAGGGAATTTGTCCTAAACCGTGTGTCTTCAGTATCTCGCCAGCAGTACCTGTTCATTTTGCGGGGGCGAAAATGCTTAAATGAAAACTTCTTGCCTCAATCAATCATTTGCTTATGAAATGAATACTTAAGGTGATCATGTCCTCGAAATTAGTAAAGAAACATATTCATTGAGTTACAGCATTCCATACCTACCCAATTAATTTGCGAGAAATTATTTCGTAGAAAATGTCAATTCTCTTGAAAGTGACTCAAGGGAATAGACCCCTGAAGCAGTAATTTTAATGAAGCACCACCTCAACAGCTTCTTCCATGCCCACCGAGTTATTTCTTTACCTGTCCTATTCAACGAGGAGGACAATATTACTTGAAACGGTACCCCGAGATAATCTGCCCCCTGGGAATATAGCCCAACATATAGGATTTTTCACAAAATCATAGATCGAAGAACTATACCTTTAAGGCAGTGTTTCCCAGACTTCTTTGAATCACGACCCACTTGCTGACGTACCAACAATTTCGGGACCCACCGAAATCCAGAACGAGGTATTTTCAAGGTCATTTTGACGAAGAATATTGATCGAACTTTGCTGTAGCCGTGTTTTATCCCGAGCGGATGCAGAAGTAGTGATTCTTTTATTATGGAAAAATGTGTGCGACCTTGATGCCTCTCGCGACTCAGTTTGGGAATCGCTGCTCTAAGGAAAGTTAGCTATCATATCCGTAAATTCTGGTGGAGAGAAACAATTTTTGGCGAAAACCTATCCACACCCCACGTAGGTGTACCCACGTGGGATGTGCATGAATGGAATGATTTTTCTTTAAATCAACACCCAGTAGTTTTTTTCTGTCCCAGTTATCAGCTTTCTCTAATAGAAAGGGTGATTCCCTGAAGCAGCTTACTCGGGATATTTTCAGAAATCGTAGAATCTCCATTTCTCATGTCGATTCGGCAATATCACACATGAACAGGAGTTAGATGATGCCAAAAGATGACGACATGTCTTTATAACCTGATATTTCTTATAAGCCTGTTATGGACAAGGATGTATATATTTCTAAGAACGTGCTTCCAGGTCGAGGGGGCAATCAACCGTACATGAATCCCACCAATTTTCCGGACGACTTGCACGCACACCACAACTACTGTCGGAACCCGAATGGAGACGAAGGGGTTTGGTGTTACAAAGCTTCCGGGGTGGGACGGGACTACTGTGACGTCCCCAAATGTCCTTGAACCTCCCCTTACAGTGAGACACATATGAGGACCATTTTATCAATGTTTCTACCGCCCGAATATTCCTGATACTCGGGCTGAACAATGTATGTGGATTTCATTTGTTTCATTTCGAGATACGGAGCTTTGGCGATAATGATATCGTCCTGATGTACGCAAATCGATTTTATCGTCGACGATTTCTATGGGGAAATTTATCATTCCATCTACTTTCTTCGGGTGGGGTTTATTTATTTTTTTTAGAGATAGGGACTTCCTACCGTTCTGGATATCCTGGTATAGCAATCCCAATTTCTTTCGTTCTGATCGCGGGAAAGTTGCATTCAAACAGCAAAGCATACTCTGGCAGTGAGGTATAAGAATATATTTGATACGTTTTGAGGTATAAATGTATGTCGTAGAATCCGTTTCTTGAGAAGGTAAAAAAGCAAAATGAGGAACAAATGAACGCGCTATTTACATATTTTTCGAAAAAATAGGATGGGTTGTATTTCTTTTAGAAACCCATGTGTACTCGACGTAAATGTTAGTCAGATCTGCACATGAATCTTCATTTTCAGCTTCGAGGAGCTTCGAACTGAGCTTTAGTGACACCAAGCTCATATGGAATCGTTCGGCGCCGCCTCTCTGACAGTAAGCGAACTGTCACGGATGATAAAAATCTCCTTGCACCATCTTGTTAACGGAGATGGTGACAGCTCGGCAGTAGCATCATGAGGCCGTAGGCATACCATCTGTCTTACCAACAGGGTTTTCTTTGTTGTCACGGACTTTACAAGTCTGGATCATCGCGAAAACATGGTTTCAAGCGTTTTCAAAACTGGCTTTGCATTCAACCGAGAGTAAAAACTCCTGTCAGTTTACACTCATTTTTCCACGTGCTAAACGATAACATTATGAAATTTACAGAATCTTTGTTTTCCGTTGAAACACGACACTCATAATTTTACCAAGTGCTATTTTACAAGTATCACGATGGGAAGTGGACAGGGAGAGAACAAAACTGCTCTCTGAATGTCCAGTTGGTCTTGACTTGAGTTAGGTTTTTTGGAGGAACATGAGCGCCATCTCTTGCATATTTTGACTGCTGCATTGTTATCACGATGGGAAGTGGACAGGGAGAGAACAAAACTGCTCTCTGAATGTCCAGTTGGTCTTGACTTGAATTAGGTTTTTTGGAGGAACATGAGCGCCATCTCTTGCATATTTTGACTGCTGCATTGGGAACCCTGACATCTGCGTCTGCAACGTACCAATGTAAATGCGTGGACTGCATGTGCGCTACTGTATGGTACCGGGCGGACAAATATATACGTCTCACTTTCTTGTGCCTCTTAGTAACTTTACCCTTTTTCATGAAAAAAGACCATTAGGTCGTACGGGTATATGATCGCATTGCCTATCGGGAATAACACTTCCAATGTTTTTTCTGTCCACTCCATCAAATAAGGAGAAATGAAACTCCAAGAAAATATAAATATGGCTATACTCCACTTGCCTTTCCCTAGATGAATTCGAATGAGGTCTGAAGAGAAAGGAGGAAGAAAGCCGGCTGATGTTTCTAAGGCGCTTATGACGATTTATATTTTCCCCATTTCCACTCACACCCACACAACCAATCTCCCTTCCCTCCACCCACCCGAACATACGAGAAAATCTATTGATATATATCCCGATATTCCAGAAAGACTATTCGACATTTTTCCAGGACATATATTGTGCAGCCCTAGCTCATACTTTCCTTGTCTGAATATCTGATTACGTCCCCAGGTTCCAATCCAAGTTTTGGCAATAATTGTAATGAATACTTCTTTGTGAATACTTTATGGATACTTCATTTAAGAATACTTCATGGCTTTATGAATACTTCATGGATGAGTAGAGTCGGGAATATCGTTCAAACACACAAGCAATATCTGAAAATTGACATGGAACTGGGTGACGTTTTGGAGCTTTGGTGTGCCTCATTAACTATTTCGAAATCCTTTCATGAACATTTTAATTCATCTGAGTTGAGATGCGATCCAAGAAATAAAATTCCTTTCTTTCACGACCATGAGACTCTCAGTCCGATCAGTGAAATCAAAAACCCCATTTCATTGACAGCATTCACTCTCTACTTCAGACTCCTCATCATCAGTGTTTCATAACATTTATCAACATTGTACGAGCATGGATTGATTCAACCAAGTCCAAGGTCTTCTCTTCTGACAAACTCATTCGATCATGAAATCGTTCAGTTGGCTGCATTCGGTTTTAGTGCTGAAGAGCCCATAGATGGGATAGAACTTCGGAATCGTTCCTCCATTCAACATTCCAATCACCCAACGGGGGTCAGAATTTCGAACATCAGTACGTCGAGCAGCATCAAGGTTAGAGAAAAAATGAAATGAGGAAAATGAAACATAATCCTGTGTTTACCATCATCCATCTCATCAGTTTAAAAACAGGAATGTCTACTTGCTTCATTTCATGAGACGACGCCTAATACTAATAAGCTATTGTGACTGACCGCTATTCTAACATTTTTAAAGATATCAAGGAAAACTGAATATCGGTACCCTATCAGATATTACAAAGCATGTTCACTTTTCATCTTCAGATTCTGCACGCACCAAAGGAAAATAAATACTTTTATTCATTTTCTCCTCACGTTCCAAACTCCTTCCCCAAGATTGGGGAAATGAAATAAAATAGTATTGGTATACTTAATTCGGTACTCGTCAGAGATGAAGCGTTTGATAGATGATGCGACGTTAAATTTCGAATGGTTCAAGAGACAGCCAAATACTTTTTTCCGATCGTGCCGTATGATATAGTGTTAACTAATGTTAATCAGTGGCTTGGAATGCCGAAAGCGGTGATGAAAAAATAGCAGAATTTTGCACTTTGTCGGAGGAACAGGAAAAACATATTTAGACCTTCAAGGTCAGTGTTGACATTAATGCAGTTCATGTGAAGGTTCCAGGAAAGACGAAATGAAAATAATAAATGATATATACATTCATGACGTGATGTGCCCGACATGAGTCTACCTGGACCACCAGTCATGGAGTAGAAGAGGGTATATATTCCTAGGTTTTTCCCGGAATCAATAGTTTGTCTTGTGAAATATTTCCCCTATTCTAAGAATCTGATCCAATTATGACTCGTCCCATCACTTGAGTTGCCACGAGAGAAAATAAATTTCGTTAGTAAAACGAAGTAAATATGATTTTTTTAACACCTGACTCTTGAGGTTGGGGAGAATATTGTCTATGGTCGCGCCTTTGGGGCTCCATTACCTTGCATAGTGATTAATTAATTTATTCTTTGCGAAATGGCAAGCACGTATTTAAAGTTGCATCCCCATTGAAATGTGTGATATATGGGGACGAAAGTCTTGATTTTTATCAAATCATCACATCTATTATTTCTAGTGTGCCTAACTTCTCCTGACCTTCTTAATCATTATTGTGGCCCTCCTCTGTATTCCCTCGAGCGCCAACAAATCGCCCTCATTTGTAGGCCTCCAAAACTGGATGCAATACTCCAACTGGGGTCTCATCAGCGCCGCAAACAATGGAAGAATAATGCGTGATGCCTTACTTGCAACCGATCGACGAATGTAACCAAGAATCCTGTTGCATTTGGCCAACGTCGCTTGCGCGCGCGGAAAACCTTGAGGTCTTCATCGATAGAAACTCCTAAATCTCTCTCTCCGTTTGTCTCATCCAATTTAACTTAGCCGAACGTGTCGAGAGACCTACCGTTGTTTCGACCGACGTGAGTAACTTTACACTCACTTTTATTAATTCTCATGAGCCATTTCTTGCTCCACTCGTCCAAAAGACTTAAATCTCTCTTGGCTCTAGCCCTATCCGCCTCCCCCCTTATGGTAAAACCTATATTTGTGTCGTCGGTATATTGACTAATCTCACCCTCTACGCCGAGATCTAAATCGTTTATGGAGACAAAAAACAGGAGCCGTCCAAGGACCGAGCCCTGAGGGACACCGCTTGAGACTCCGAACTCCTTCGACGCTTTCCCATTAATCATCTCTCATTGCTCTCGTCCTGCCAACCAGCTACTGATCCACTCCCTCGTCCTACCCTGGATCCCGTGCGCCTCCAGTTTAACCCGCAACCTCTTGTGAGGAACGTTATCGAAAGCTTTCGCGAAATCTAAATATATGATGCCCACGAGATTCCCCTTATCCCCCTCTTCCGTCCCCAGTCCTAGAAATGGAGCAAATTGGCGAGACAATTTCGACGCTTCCTGAAGCAGTGTTGAGAGTCCCGAATGAGCGCTTTTCCTTCTAGGAAATCCAAGAGATGGTCCCTTGGTATGCTCTCCATGATCTTCCCTGGGATACTCGTGAGAATTTCCGGCCTGTAATTTCCTGGATGACTCTTTTCGCCCTTCTTAAAAATCGGTACGACGTTTCCTAGTCTCCAGTCATTAGGTACTTCCCCGCGCGAATAGCTGCTTTCGAATATAATTCTTAGCGGAACCGATATTTCTCTTGCGGTTTCCTTAATGACTCTCTTAGGAATCCCATCGGGGCCGGTCGCCTTGCCCACAGCGTAACTTCCCTATCATGTTCATGATCGTCTCCTCGGTGGGAGCCGAGGTCATCTCCTCCAAAGTCGGTGCCGAGTCGGATTCCACAGTGAAAACGGAAGCGAAGAATTCGTTAAGTATACTGTCCATATCCTTATCACTTGCAATCAAATCCCTCTTTTCGTTCATTAGCAGCCCGATCGACTATTGACACCTATCACTTGCATACCGATAAAAAGTCTTAGGGTTCTTCTTAGCATCACTAGCCAGCCGTTCCTCGACCGCCCGTCTCGCAGAATTAATTTCCCCCTTTAAAAACCGCGTGATCCTCCTATCTTTATCATAGTCCCGTCCGCTTTTACGCATCCCATTTCCGCTTTTTATCCCTGATGAGAGCTTTGATTTTACCCGTAAACCAGACCGGTTGCCAGCCCGATTTTATGGATTTCTTGAGGATTCATTCCTTCATAAAGTCCAGCAATAACGTCTTGAACGCCCCCCATTGCTTCTCTACCGTCAGCTCACGGAGCCGCACCTCCCAGTCGATGCGTTTTGAAATATGTCTCCTCAGCCTACGCTGAGGAGACATATTTCAAAAGTAGGATTTTTCCTGTACTCAGCTATTAAACAGGAACGTTTGAGGGATGTTTAAATTTTCTGCATATGTTTCGTTGCATCAAAAAAATATTCAGCAATATGTGACTTAAAAAAAAAGAAAATTCGTGAAAATACACCTTTTGCAATATATGTGCCCTGACCCCTTTTAACCGAAACGTACCATCTTTTTCTTACCAAAATCCATCCTCAGTGA